AAAAAAAAAAAAAAAAATCCCAAACATCTGCCTGTACAGGGGTCAAAGCCCAGTTGTGGAGGGGTGGCGTGGAATTTCATGACTCAGTTCCCAAGTATGAGATGAGTGTTTCTACTGCCAAATGTCCAAGCCACGAAGTGAAAAACAGAGTTGCAAGCCAAGATGTGGGGCAGTATGGGCTCTGGGTATGCCCATACCTTGCAATGGTAGAAGCCTCAAAACACCCTCCCGATTTATCTTCTGAGCACATACCTGCACCTCCCTGCGTGGGCAGCTGTCCCTGGGGGTGGGATCACAGGGAACTCTGGTTTCTCAGTTAAACGGTAACTTTTTTTTTTTTTTTTAATAAGATGTGGTTTCACCATGATGGCCAGGCTGGTCTTGAACTCCTGACCTCAGGTGATCCACCCACCTCAGCCTCCCAAAGTGCTAGGATTACAGGCATGAGCCACCCCAACAGTAACTGTCTTGATCACCCCCCAGGTCCCAGTGCCCACGTGTTATACACTCGGCTCAGCGACAGACCCAGGGATGGGGAGTCACTGACCCCTGTGTGCCTATGGCAAGGGTCACCCCCATGGCCTCTCTGGGCACCCCCATAAGATGGGGCTGTGATGAGGAGCAGGCGCAACTCAGTTTGGTTTTATTTACATTAAAAAGGCAAATCCTATCCGGACCCGTGGCTCTCACTCCCAGCACTTTGGGAGGCTGAGGCTGGTCAGGAGTTTGAGACCAGCCTGGGCAACATAGTGAGACCCCAACTCTAGAAAAAAAATAATGAGCCAGGCATTGTGGTGAGCCTGCTGTCCCAGCTACTGGGGAAGCAGAGGCCGGAGGATCCCTTGAGTCCGAGAGGTCGAGGCTGCAGTGCGCCCTGAGCAGCAAGACCGCGTCTCTTTAAAAAACAAAACAAAAAAAAAGCAAACCCTCTCCTCAAAGTGCTGGGAAGACTTTTCTGCGAGTTAGAGAAACCCCCTCGACGAGTTTTCAGTAGTATTCTCAAGTCGTCTGGCCTACCGCCGCGCTGCGGTCGACCAGCTGCTGCCTCCCCACGCGCCGCCTGCACGGACGCGGCCTCCCGGCGGCAAGCGAACATGCGCAGTTGCCGACAACAGTAAACCCCCACGTCCGGTCCCGCCCCATTCCCCGCCTTCCTCCCATCCCGGCCTCCCATTGGCTAGCGTCGGCGCGAGCGCTCAACCCCGACGCGGCTGACCAATGAGAGCTCTGGAGGGCGTGGCCGTGGGCGGGGAGGCGCGGGGTGCCGGCGCGCGTCCATTGGTCGGCTGGGCGAGGGGAGGAGCCGCTGGCTCCCAGTCCCGCCGCGATGAGCCTCGGTCGCCTGTGCCGCTTGCTGAAGCCGGCGCTGCTCTGTGGAGCTCTGGCCGCGCCCGGCCTGGCCGGCACCATGGTAAGCGGTGGCCGCGGCTGTCCCTGGCCCGGGGACTTTTGGGCCGGGCGCACGACCCCCGCCTCCGGTCGCCGGCGCGGGAAACCCTCGGGCCCCCGTGACCTTCGTGCGGGTAGCTCCCTCTCCCCATCCCCGGCCGGGCGCCGACGCGGGTGACCGCACTGCGACGCGCTCCAAGACCGTCCAGGCCGTTGCTTGCGCGCGGGGCGAGGTCGGGGAAGGGGAAGGGGCTGTCCCGAGCGCGCGGGCCGAGGTCGGGAAAGGGGCTGGGGACGGGGCTGTTCCTAGCGCGAGGGCCCGTGGCTGGGGTCGGGGTTCAGGCTGGCG